GCGCCGCGCGGAGCCCCGCGTTCGCCGCCTTGGAGTAGCTGCTGAAGTTCGTCTCGAGGACGACGTCGCCCGTGCGGCCGTGGCTCGGCGCCCGCAGGGCGGCCGCCGTCGCGGCGTCGCAGGCGTCGAGGACGACGTAGAAGCGGAAGGCGTCGGCGGGCGTCGACGCGACGACGGCGTCCAGGCAGCGCCGCGTCGCCTCGAGCGCGCCGTGCACGGTGATGACGATCGCCGTCGTCGCTTTCTTCGTGGGCGTGGCGAGGGCGGCGAGCGCCAGCGCGACGAGCCGCAGGGGCAGCCCCATCATTGTCCTGTTCAACAACTTGCGTTCTTGAAGGGTGGACACGATGGTGTGAGCATCCCCGGGGGCTGCCCGGCCATGCGAGCCATGCCAGCCTTCGCCGTGTTGGCGTCCGTCGCCGTCGCCGCGGCCTTGCCGCCCTTCGTCGTGCTGTCGAAGGCGCGGTCCGGCACGACCTGGTTCCTCGAGCTCCTGCGCCAGCACCCGCAGGTCCGCGTCGAGGGCGAGATCCTGCTCGGCGCGTCGACGAGCGCCGAGGCCATGGCGCGGCTCGAGGCCTTCGGGCGCGAGAAGCGCCGGGGCGCCGCGCACGTCGCCGTGGGCTTCAAGCTCCTCGACGGCCAGGGCGGCGAGGCGCTGCGGGCCGGGGCCGGCAACGGCACCGTCGCGGCGTGGCTCACGCGGCGGCGGGCCAAGCTCCTCGTGCTCGAGCGCGAGGGCCTCGCGCGGCTCGTGTCCATGCGGAAGCACGACGCCGCCGTGCGCGACTTCGACGCGCTCCTCGCGGCGGGCGCCTTACGCTCGAAAAGCGAGAAGTACAAGTGCGTCGCCGCGGACTGCGTGGACCGCGCGCGCGCGCGCGCCGTGACCCTCGACGCGTCCCGCGTCGTCCGGGACCTCGACCGCGAGTACGACGCCTGGACGCAGCTCCTGGCCTGGGTGCGGCGCTACACCTTCGCGGACGTGCAGTACCACGCGTACCGCGACCTGAGCCGGGACCCGAGGTGCGAGATGACGCGCGTCTTCTCCTTCCTCGGCGTGCCCCGATTCCGCGTCGCGGCCAACGAGTCGACGCTGAAGATGGGCGCGGCGACGCCGCGCCTCGACGTCGCCAACGCGGCGGACGTCGAGGCCGCGCTCGCGGGGACGCGGTGGGACGGCGAGCTCGACCGGAGATTCGCCTAATCCGGTGTTTACGTGGCCGTCCGCTTCCGCGCCTTCTTCTCGTCGACGACCGCGGCGGCGCGGCTGAGGCCGTCCCCCGACGGCGTCCGCGCGAGCCGCGACTCCGGGATCCGCCGCCACTGGTAGTAGAAGAGGCCCAGGAGCGCCGCGGTATACCCGTAGATCTGCCGGGGCGTGCGCCGCTCGCGGTAGACGACGTGCGACGCCGACGCGAGGACGACGTCCTTGACGATGCCCGAGAGGACGAAGGACACGGCCCGCAGGCGCCGGATGACGACGAGGCCCAGCCCGTTGAGCGCGAACGCGAACGCGCAGTTGAGCGCGAGCACGCGCAGCGGCGGCGTCGCGTAGCCCGCGGCCGCGAAGGCCGTCCACTCGCCCGTGGCGACGGCCACGAGGAACAGGCCGACGGCGTTGACGGGCGCCACGTAGTAGAGGTACGTCGTCGGCGAGAGGACGATGTGCCGCGACGCGAGGAGCTTCTCCATGGCCGCCAGGCGGAACCCCTCGACGACGATGCCGCTAAACGCCAGGAACACGCCGTAGGTCGAGCAGCCCGTCTTCGGCCCCTCGACGCAGGCCACGGAGACGCCCGCGACGATGAGGAACAGGTTCGAAAAGTCCAGCAGCGAGAACGTCCGCAACCCCAGCACGAGGCACGCCGCGTAGGTCCAGACGACGTTCGTCGACTTGATGACCTGGGCCAGGGACACGGAGCAGTGGCGGTACGACGAGTTGACCAGCGACAGCGACGCGACGGTGCCGAGCGCCGCGGGGAGGAAGCCGTAGAGAACGATGCGCCGGTCGACCTGCTGCACGAGCGGGTCCTTCGGCCGGCCGCAGCGGCGCGCGACGAGGACGACGCGCACGAGGCAGGCGTTCGACGTCATGTGGAGGCACGCGAGGAGGCTCGGGTAGGGGAACGCGCGCCGCACGAGGCCCGCGTTGATGAGGATCATGCTACCGGAGACGAAGATGTACGCGAACGCGAGGAGCGCGTTCGCGCAGGTCCCGCCCTCGCCGCGAGGCCCTGGAGCGCCGCGCGCGACGCCGGCCTCCTCGTCGACGGGGTCCCGCGAGCCGCCGGGGCGCCGCTGCGGGCTCCGCACGAGCGGGAAGACGGACGTCGCGCCTCTGTCCTTATTGATGGGCGAAATGTGCGCGAAGACCGACGCCGCCGGCTCCATGGACGTCATGGCGAGAAGTCGCCGAGTCGCCGAGAGGTCGCGTCGAGGCGTCGCCACAGTCGTGCGCGTCGACTCACAGCGATTTGGACGAAGGCAACATCGTAGTGTTTGAAGCGCCTCTTCTCGAGGCCGATGGCCGCGCTCGGCAGCCCGTCGTGCTACAGCCGGCTGGAGACGCTCATCGCGAAGGTGATCTTCCTCGCGACGGGCGTGTGGTGGGGCGTGGGCGTCCAGCTCATGGTCTACGCCGGGATCGCCGCGGAGCCGTCGGCGCTGCTGCCGAATTTCACCTGGTACGCGCCGCAGCGTCGCGTGATGCTTTGTTCGCGCAATTCGCGCCGGGACACGGGGAAGCGATGCGACCCGTGGTAGGTACGCGTCCATGCTCCTGGGCCTGCTGCTCAGCGAGCGGTTCGTGCGCGTGTCCTGCTGCGACGGCGCCGAGGAGCCCGCGGGCTGCGGCGTGTCGCTGGGCTGCCTGCTGCCGCGCGGCCGCGCGGCGGCCGCTGCGGCCAAGGCGCGGCGGTGCGCGTGGTGGCGCCTGCCGCCGGCGCGCGGCCTCGTCGGCGACCGGGACCTCGTCGCCGCGGCGCTCTGCGACTACTTTGGCACCGTCGCGACGGCGATGGGCCTCACGCTCGCGGGCTCGGGCATCTTCGGCATCATCTACTCGTCCGTGAGCTGCTGGGCGGCGCTGTTCTCCTACTGCATCCTGGGCCGGCGGCTCGTGCCCCTCCAGGTGCTGGGCATGGCCGTCGTCGTCGCGGGTTTGGTCGTGTCGTCGCTCGAGAACGACTTCGCGTCCGACGGCGGCCGCCGCGTCGCCGCCGGGTCCGTGGCCATCGCCGTGGGCACCGTCGCCTACGGCCTCGAGTACGCGCTCTGCGAGCGCTTGTTGAGCGCGTCGGACGCCGCCGGCGAAAAGCCCGTGGCGTCGGCGACGGACGAGCGCGACGCCGCGGAGCCGCGGCGGGCCTCGGGCAACGAGGCCATCGTCGAGATGATGTACTACATGGGGCTCTGGGGCCTCGGGCTCTCCGCGCTCTACACGGCCGTCGTCGTCGCGCCGCGCTGGGACTACCTCGTCGCGGCGCCCGTCCGCGTCTCCGGCGCGACGCCGCGGTACCTGACGGCGCTCGTCGTGTCCCACACGTTCTCGAACTGGCTCCACAACCTGTCCTGGTTCATCATCTGCGACCGCGAGGGCTCCGTCGCCACGGGCCTGCTCCAGGGCCTCAAGGCCGTGCTCCTCTTCGGCGGCTCGTCCTTGGCCTTCTGCGACCGCCAGGAGTCGCAGTGCATGACGCGGCCCAAGGTCCTCGCCACGGCCATTGTCGTCGCGGGCACGGCCATCTACTACCTCGCGCCGACGACGTCGCCCGCGGACCTCGCCGCGGCGCGCGACGCGGGCAAGGGCGCGGAGCACACGACGGCCTACGAGCTCGTCGCCAAGCCCCCGACGGGCGGCGCGTCGGACCTCGAGCTCGAGGACGACGACGAGCTCGAGGGGGACTGGAACTAATCCGCTAGAACGGGAAGGCCCGCGGCGGGAGCGGGCCGCTGAGGAACTCGACGAGGTGGCGCGCGAGGGGCCGGCAGTCGAAGACGCGGCGCCGCGCCGAGCCCGCGTGGTCGGCGCGCGGGCCGACGACGTGGAGGCGGATCCGCAGCATGCGCCGCGCGAGGAGATTCGCGCGCCGCTCGGACCAGAGAAGTTCGGCTTGTACCAGGACCCCTGCGTCTACAGCGAAACAATCGACGTGCGACCATGCGAAATAGGCGGGGTAATGATGCGTGAGCATGGCCATGAGTTCAAGAAGCGAGTGTTTCACCAACGTCGATGCACCTCCGTTATTCAGGATGGCACGACACACGTTTCTGTCGATGACAGCACCGTGTGAGAGCAGCACAGACACATCACTAACATCAATGGCCTGCCGACAAGCGATGCATAATGGGCTTGCTCCGCCTTGGAACCCCAAATCAACGTCTGCGTCGCGGTCCAGAAGCACCTTCGTCAGTTCAAAGCGCCGGTGATGGCTCGTGAGGCCGAGCGGCACGACAAGCCCGGTGCCACGCGGGTGTTCCTGAACTTGAGGATCGCTCGCACCCCACTGATCGACTCGGGCTCCAAGGTCGAGCACAAGCGAAAGCGACTTTGGACTACCACCGCGACAATTACCGAAGAGTGGCGTGTTATAGCGCTGATTAAGATTGCTCTGACTGATCGATGCGCCTCGGGCAACTAGGAGACCAAAGACGTCAAACCAATCTTTGGAATTAGTGACAGCATTGAACAGCGGAGTGAAACCCATGCCGTCGACTTGCTTCGGGTTGGCGCCCTCGTCGAGGCACCGCCGCACGTCGACGATGTCGTTGCGCCTGATGGCGGCGTGGAACTCACGATTGAGCTGCGAGAACATCGTCGCCGGGGCCAGCGGTGAGCGCGAGCCGACGCTCTATGTCGATCTCGAGCACGACTCGGGTGCCAGTTGAGCGCGGAGCCCCGGAGGGCCGACGCTCTATGAACTTGCCTGGGCCGCCCGCATGCGCCGGCCGGCTCGTGAATCGCGCCGAGCTCCTGTGTGCACCGAGACTGTGCACCGGCGGCACAGTGTCGCAGATGTTGCACAGCATCGTGCCTCGGTGAACTCGTTGAAGCAGCCCTGGTCGCCATCCCTCGCCTGGCCGTCGCCCCCACGCTGCGTCGGTCGCGGGAATCTGCCGGTCCCGCGGCCATGGTCCACGCGGAGCACGCGCGGAAGCTGGCCCTCCTCGAGGCCGAGGTGGCGCTCCTCCGCCTGGAGCTCGAGGGCCGCGACATCGTGCGGGCCAGCGGCGGCCTTTTGCCGGCGCTCCTGCGGCTGCTGCTGCCCGTGGCGCTGGCGGTCGCCGGGGCCTGGGGCCTGCCCGCGTTCCTGCGCTGCGTGGAGCGGAAGCTCGCGGAGCGCCACGAGGGCGCGGCCGCGCGCGGCGACCTGAGGCGCCAGGCGCTCTACCGCCTGGACCTCTGGTTCAGCACGAACCCCTACAGCAAGATGCAGGCGCTCGCGGCGCTCGCCGCGGCGCTCGTCGTCGCCGGCGCGCTGCTGCTCTTCGCCGTGTCGGACACGACGCCCACGGACGCGCTGTGGGAGTCGCTCGCGGGCGTGGGCATCGCCTGGGACTGGGCGTCCGCCGCGGGGCGGCTGGACCCGGGCAGCGCTAGGGGCGTGCTGACGCGCGTCGTCGCCGTCGCTGTGTCCCTCGGGGGCATGTTCGTCACCGCGCTGCTGCTGGGCATCGTCAGCGAGCAGATCACGGAGAAGGTCTCGCACAGGGCAGGAAAAGAGAGCGAAATTCCCAACTTCAAAGGCTCCTATCTCGGCCGTTTTTCACTCGTTTCGGCTGATTTTTGGACGAGCGATCATCTCTTGGAACGGTCTCGAAGCATGGATGCTTTTTCCGGAACGCGCGCGGAACACTCACTTTTCCTGCCCAGGTCGAGCACTACCGCAAGGGCAAGTCGGACGTGCTCGAATCCGGCCACACGGTCATCTTGGGCTGGAGCGACAAGCTCTTCGGCGTGCTGGAGCAGCTCTGCCTCGCCAACGAGTCGCTCGGGGGCGGCGTCGTCGTGCTGCTGAGCGACAAGCCCAAGGAGGAGCAGGAGGACGCGCTCGCGCAGCAGGTGCCCGAGACGCGGGGCACGACGGTCATCTGCCGCCAGGGGTCGCCCCTCGTGCGCGAGCACCTCGACAAGGTCTCCGCGGAGCACGCGCGAAGCGTCGTCGTCCTGAGCGACGACACGCTCCGCGCGGACCTGTGTGGAAATCAACCGCCGGTTCGGGACGTCCCCACCAAACTTCAGAACTCTCTATCTCGGTCAAATCGACGTCGATTCGTCTGATTTTTGGACGCATCGATTGCTTTCGTCGAGCTCTCGAAGCACAGCGAAAGAGTCTGGTCCAAATCGTTCGATTACGCGCACATTAAAGTCGGGTTGCAGATTTGAGTTCCACGCAGGCGCGGACCAGGCGGACGCGCGGAGCCTCCGCGTCGCGCTGAGCTTCGTGAGCGAGGCGCGCCACTGCGCGCCGGCGTCGGACCGCTGCATCGTCATGGAGATGCAGGACGTCGACAACGAGCCCCTCGTGCAGCTCGTCGGCGGCGACCACGTCGAGACCATCGTCACGCACGACCTCATCGGGCGCCTCATGATCCAGTCCGCGCGCCACCCGGGCCTGGCCCAGGTCTGGTCCATGCTCCTGGGCTTCGACGGGTGCGAGTTCTACATCAAGCACCACGCGGAGCTCGACGGCGTCTCCTTCGGCGACGCGTTCCTCCGATTCGACGACGCGGTGCCCATCGGCGTCATCCAGGGCTCGGGCAAGGACGCGACGATCTGGGTCAACCCCGAGGACGACCTCGTCTTACGACCGGGCGACAAGCTCATCGTCATCGCCGAGGACGACGACACGTACGCGCCGCGGACCCGACCCTTGGAGGTCGAGGTCGCGTCGCCGTCCGACGGCGACCTCCGCACGTTCCGCGACGACCGCGCGCTCTCCATGGACGACGATAACGCGGAGCGGCCCGAGTGCGTCCTCTTCTGCGGCTGGCGCCGCGACATGGACGACATCGTCCAGGTGTTGGACGAGTTCGTCACGCCGGGCTCGGAGCTCCACATTTTCTGCGAGCTGCCCGCGGAGGCCCAGGCCGAGCGGCTCCGGGAGCAGCGGGCGACGCGGAAGCGGCCGCTGGAGCTATCCAATTTAACGGTCTACCACAGCGAGGGGCTCCTGTGCAGCCGCCGCGACCTCGAGGAGAAGCTGCCCATCTCGTCGCTGTCGTCGATCGTGATCCTCGCGGAGGAGTCGGAGGACCTCGACGCGACGTCCAAGGACTCCCAGGCGCTCACGACGCTGCTCCTGTTGCGCGACATCCAGTCGACGCAGCCCCCGGCGCCGGGCGGCGCGCGGCCGCGCGCGGCGACGACGCCCGCCAAGTCCGTCGACTTCGTCTGCTCGTCCGAGTCGCCGGACCGCCCGAGGCGCGCGTCGGTCTGGGACTCCTTCTCCCAGAGCGCCTGCGACGCCACGGACGCCGTCCACGCGGCCGTCGCCGACGCCGTGCTGAGCCCGCGGTCGCTCGACTCGCCGTCGCCGCGGTCCGTCGAGGCGCCCGCGTCTTCGCTGAGCCCCTCGAACTCGTCGGGCGCGCTGAGCCCCGGCCGGTCGCCCCGCGCCCGGACGTCGTCCAAGGCCATGCGCTGCCACTCGTCGCCGACCTGGTCCCTGCTCCGCAAGCAGAAGGAGAAGTGCCAGATCATCTCGGAGATTTTGGACTCGCGCACGTCGAAGCTCATCGCCGACGCGCAGATCAGCGACTACGTGCTGAGCAACGACCTCGTCGCGAACGCGCTGGCCATGATCGCCGAGGACCGGACCGTGAACAAGCTGCTGAAGATTTTGATGGAGAGCGAGGGGTCCGAGTTCTACATCCGCCGCGCGGCGGACCTCGTCGACGTCGGGCGGAAGCAGTCCTTCTTCGACGTCATGCGCGCGGCGCGCCTCGCGTTCCGGGGGCCCGAGATCGCCTTCGGCTACGTCCGCGCGGGCGAGGAGCCCGTGCTCAACCCGCCGCGGAAGCGCGAGCTCAAGCGGTGGCTCAAGACCGACAGCTTCATCGTCCTCGCCGAGGGCTGAGGGGCCGTTACTCCCGAGGGGCGCGGGCATGTCCGTCGCGGGTGTCGACGGGGGGGGGCGGGGGGCACAGTCGCGGGGCGGGCGCGCAGCTCCCGGGGCACGTCAGACGACGAGGGCCAGGAGGCTCTCGAAGGACGGCGGGCTCGCGAGCCAGACGCGCCTGGACGCGTCGTCGACGGGCGACAGCGGGCTCGGCGGCTCGTCGAGCGCGAGCCAGCACGCGGACGCGACGCGCGGCAGCAGCGGCGGCGTGACCTCCGCCGGGGCGACCTCGAGGGGCGCGTCGTCCCAGGCGCGCGGCGCCTCCGGCGCCGCGGCGTCCCCGGGCGCGCGATCCGCGGCGTAGCGCGCGAGCACGTCGCCGTAGAGGCAGTCGCGCTTGTGCGAGATGAGGTCGCAGGCCGCGCGCGACCGGACCGCGCGGCAGAAGGGGCAGCGCAGGACGCCCTCGCCGGGCACGGGCAGCCACTCGAGGTCGCGGAGCAGCGCGAGCTCGACGGCCCGCGCGTCGACGGGCGCGGCGGCGGCGGCGCCGCGCGGCGCGGCGCCCGCGGCGCGCCGCGGCGCCGCGCGCGGGCGCTTCCGCGACGGCGGCGGCTTCGCCGGCGGCTTCGCCGGCGGCGCCGTGTCGACGGGCGGCGGCGGCGGCGTCCTCGGCGCGCGCCGCGCCGGCTTCTTCCGGGGCGCGGTGATCTCCGCGAGGAGCTCGTCGCGCGACTTCGCCGCGGGCGCGTCGTCGCCGGGCGCGAGGCGCCGGCTCTCCGTCGGCGAGCAGCCCGCGAGGTCCGCGTGCGCGCCGACGTCGGCGCCGACGGCGACGCGGAGCCCCCGCGCGAGCGCGCCGGCGGCGAAGTGGACGACGAACTTGCAGAAGCCGTCGCCGTCCGTGACGAGGGGCGTCGACTTGTCGACGACGAAGCTCTTCGGCGGCAGCGCGGCGCCGTCGGCGCCGACGGGCGAGGCGACGAGCCGGCGGCCCGCGAGCGCGGTGTCGCCCCCGGCGCGGCCGGGCGGCCGCGAGTAGTCCACGAGCGCCGCGTGGAACGCGTAGGACGCGAAGGGCTGGGCCGCCGGCGCCGGGAGCCGCCGGCACTTGAGCAGCAGGACCTGGGCCCGCGACAACACCAAAGGCGCCGACACGCCGCGCGCGCCGTCGGCCCGCGTGACGGCGACCGCGACGGCCGCGCCCGGGGGCTGCGACGCCGGGTCGAAGCGGAGCTGGCCCTCGAAGCACGCCGACCCGCCGGCGAAGACCAGGGCCTTCTTCGTCGTCGCGTGGAAGGCCACGGGCCCGCACCCGGCGAGGGGGCGACCGGCGAGGGGCGACGCCAGCGCGCCCTCGGGCGCGACGGCGAGGACCTCGACGGCGAGCGCCTGCCGCTTCGGGGCTGCCCCGGAGGGCGCGCCGTCGGCCGCGGTGACGCGCACGTCGAAGGGCTCGTGCGTGAGCACCTGGGCGTTCGCCACCTCCACGCGCAGCGCAGGATACGCCATCGTCCTCCCTTCGATGCGCGACAGAACGCACCCAATCCTCAAGGTGCGATGCACACAGCACGCCGCTGTGCAGCTTTCCTTTGGGCTTTGTGTCAATCGATCGTTGCTACAGCTTTTGATCGAGTCCGCAGCGTGACGGCGTTCCGCGGCGCCGGCGCGCGGGGTTCGGTGCGCGCGTCGCCCTCGACGCGCGCGCGACCGCACCGCCCATGGCGCCGCCGCCGGAGTCGCCCTACACGCGGGCCGTGGAGAAGGCCGACCAGCTCTTGGAGCGGGGCCTCATCGACCCCGGGCGCTACCGCGACATCGTCGCCGGCGACGCCCAGTTCCACATCGAGGCCGCGCGCTTCGAGCGCGACGCGGCGCTCCGGCAGCTCGAGGACCTGAGCCCGGAGAGGGCGGCCGCGCCCCGCGACGTCGTCTTCGAGCTCGCGACGCCGCCCGCGGCGCCGCGCGACGTCCACTTCGACCTCGTCGGCGAGCGGCTCCACACGATCAAGGAGAACGACCGGTCGTCGTCGGCGCGGAGCTCGAGCGCGTCGTCCGACGCGCCGAACCCGCGCGCGGCGCCGCTCGGCGCGGCCCTCCAAGCGAACATGCCCGTCGCGCGCGTCATCGGCGGCGCGCCGGCGAAGCCGCGCCGCAAGCCGTCCCTCCTCGCGTCGCTCGTGCGCGGCGTCAGCCGGCGCCTCCCGTCGTCGAAGAAGGCGACCAAGCTCCGGGCCTGGGAGACGGCCGCGCTCCGGGCGTCCGCGGCGCCGGAGCCGGCGGCGACGCCGCGCGCGGTCGCGCCGCCGCGGCCGAGCGCGCCGCCGCGGCCCCGGGGCCGCATCAGCGAGCAGCCCTTCTCGCCGACGGACTTCGAGCGCCAGCGGCGCGTGGGCCGCGGCGGCTTCGGCGTCGTCTACCTCGTCACGAAGCGCGCGGAGCCCGACGCGGGCGCGGCCTACGCGATGAAGGTGCTGGACAAGAGCCGGATCCTCCGGGGCGGCGGCGCGGCCCAGGCGCGCCTCGAGCGCGACGTCCTGCGCGTGCTGCGCCACCCCTTCGTCGCGCGGCTCCGCTACGCGTTCCAGACCGAGACGCGGCGCGCCCCCGCGCGGACCTCGAAGCTCCGACCCGACTTCCACGTGCGAGCGTTCGACTGGGTCGACGCGCGCACGTCCGCCGCGCGTTGAGCACTCGACGAGAGCCATCGATCCGTCCGACCGTCGGCCGCATCGACGTCGACGGGGCCGAGCGAGAGACGTTCAAAGTTGGGACGTCCCGAACCGGCGGTCGATGCGCGCGCAGGCTCTACCTCCTCACGGACTTCTACGCCGGCAACTCGCTGTCGCGGACCCTCCGGGGCGAGGCCGTCGACGTCCCCGCGGCGACGTTCTACGCCGCGGAGCTCGCCGCGGCGCTCAACTACCTCCACGGCAAGGGCGTCGTGCATCGCGACGTCAAGCCGTCGAACGTGCTCGCGCGCGCCCGCGCGGCATGCGGACGCTTCGACGCGGCGTCGACGCGCGCGTCGTCGGGACGCGTCGGCCGCGCGCGCGACGAGCGCCGTCGACGCGTCCGGGCATCGAGGGGCGGCCGGACCTTCCGACCGCGTCGGCTCGACGGTCGGGCCCCGCGCAGGTGGACCGGCGCGGCCACGTCGCGCTCTGCGACTTCGGCATCGCCGCCGTCGGCGCGCTCGACGGCGACGACGGCGGCGGCGCGACGCCGCGGCGCCGGTCCTTCTGCGGCACCGTCGAGTACATGGCCCCCGAGCTGCTCCGCGGCGAGTCGTACTCCAAGGCCGTGGACTGGTGGGCGCTCGGCGTGCTCTTCCACGAGCTGCTCGCGGGCGCGACGCCCTTCGGGGGGGCCGGCGTCCGGCCCCGCGACCTCTTCCGCAACATCCTCCGCGCGGACCCGCCGCCGCTGCCGGCCGCCGCGACGCCCGCCGCGGTGCGCCTCGCCGCGCGCCTGCTCGACAAGGCCGCGGCGAGCCGCCTCGGCACGGAGGGGGCCGTCGCCGACGAGCCCCTCTTCGCGGGCCTCGACTGGGCCGCCGTCGAGCGCAAGGAGCTCGCGCCGCCGGCCGTGCCGCGGCTGCCGCCGTACTTTGCCTTCGACGGCGACGGCCGCCTCCGCTGCACGGAGCGCGGGCCGCTGCCGCGCCTCGACGACGACGGCGAGTCCGACGACGACGACGACCGCGCGCGCGACCGCCGCGCGCGCGCGCCGCCCCGGCCCGACCACTTCCGCGGCTTCGCCTTCGCCGGCGACGGCGCGCCGCGCGCCGCCTGACCGCGCCCGCCTTTTAGTTCCAACCCTCCGGCCGGCCCTTTGGCGGCGACCGCGCGACCGGGGGGGCGGACGCCCGCCGCCCCGGGGGGCGGAGCGACGCCGGGGCTCGAGCGCCCGGGGGCGGACTTGCCAGGGGGCCCAGGCGTCGAGCCGCGCGCGGGACGACGCCGCCACAGACCTAAAGTTCTCTAGGGGCTCCAGTGCACTGGGAAGCCGATCCGATGGGCAGCGCCCGACTTTGACGGCCGCGTTCGGCGGCTCGGTCCGCCGGGCGCCCCGGCAGCCTTCGAGCCCGCGCCGCGCCGGCGGGCGATCTTCGACGCGCCGCTCTCGATCTCGAGAGACGAGCACGATTTCGGGGCGAACGGGGCCTCTGGATCCGGGCCATTTCGACGCGTCGAGGGGCGATATGTCGGTCCTGGTGCCAAAAAAACTCGGCCGCGCGCGGGGAATCGCGAAGGTATAGTGTCGCGATGGGATTCCCCGCGCGCGGCCGTGTTTTTATCTCCATCATCACGCGCGCGCGCGTGGCAGCCCCGGCGGTGCGCGTCGAGCGCTCCGAGTGGTCGTGGCGGTCAGCGCCGGGCCCAGAGGACGATCTACGCGGCTGAGGCACTCGAGGGGTGTCTGCGAGGGTCTCGAAGCGGTCGCGGGTGTCCCCAATGCGCGTTTCTCGGGTCGTTGACCAGGTTTGAGCCGCGGCGCGCGTCGTGCTTGGCAGCCCGTCCACAGCCGAGTTTCGGCATGGATGGCTGCTTTTCAGCTTTGGTCCTCCAGAGGACATGTTGGACGGACCCCTGATGCGCTGGGGTCCAGCGGGAGGGTCGCCAGGGGGTGTTTTGGCGCCCACCATAATCACTGTTCATGACTACTCAGAGAG